TTTTTTTTTTTTCTCCTCCTCTTACCTCATGTTATGTATTTTTCATTGTTTTTTTTCCTATCAGCCTACCTTTCTGACATGTCTCCCCAATGTGATGTTTGCGTAAAGTTGGTCAGAAGGTTCCTTTGTAAGTGCGCATGCGCCACTAGCGTGCTGCCTGCTGTAACCCTAATTTCCTTCGGGATTAATAAAGTATTCTGATTAAGACATCCTCCCTCACTGGCATCATTCAGAGGCCCAAAAAGAAATAGCAGAAACAAAGCAGTCTATAGTCTCCACTTCTGGTTCACACGGATTACTTTTACATATGTTGACCTTACTATGAGGTTTTTAGCACTGTAATGAATGATGAATAGAAAATCAGGAAAACTTCAGGAGGTGCACTTTAAAGGAATCTGCAGGATGGACATCCACCTTAGAAACATGCTGCTAGCCTTTCCAGGAATTCAGTTACTCAAATTTTTACTAGGAATCCACTAACTTTAGTTTCTTTACATGCAAACACTCCAGTAACCAAATGTTTCAGGAAAATGTTCTTCCCAACATTTGCACATTCAAATGAATCTCATCCTGAATAAGCTGGATCTGCAAGTGTGTGTTATATTTATTTATTTTTTTACCTAAAATATGCTGAAAACCTCCAAGAAGGCCCATCTCTGTGGAAATCTCAAGGAGCCTCTATTTGGTGATTGTCTTTTGCAGAAAAGATGGCAGACCAGGCCCCCTCAGTTGCCATGGAGGCTGTCCTGAAGCCTAGCTGCGATCTCCCCGAGGACATGCCGAAAATCAGAGGTTACGACTTCAACCAGGGAGTCGATCTCCATGCGGTGCTGAAGTCCTACCTCACCACGGGCTTCCAGGCCAGCAGCTTAGCCCTGGCTATCCAGGAGATCAACACCATGGTGAGAGGAATGCCTTTGGGGGGGTTATTAACTTTCAGTAAACGACTACAAGGTGTCTGGACCCACACGTTCTCCTGTCTTATAGTAGTTTTGGTTTTGCTTGCCCAGGTTATGCTATGTGCATCTTTTGGCATTTCTTCTTCCACTGCAGTACAAGAGGAGTCCTATTGATGGGAATCATAGGGATCATATTGATATGAATATGTCACTATTTTAAAAAAACAAAACGAAGAACCCTAAAAGCTTTTAACTTCCTGGAGTCTTGCTCCACTGATACTGAGAGACTTTTACTCGCCCTCCTCATTCAAAAAAACTTATCAGTCACTCCAGACTGGGCACATGTGTCACACCCACAATCCAACCTGACTTTTCTCCTGCGTTCTGTTTACCTCAAAACTTGGAGATGGAGTGTAAAATTACAAATTTGTTGACTTTGATGAAGTTGACATTGAGCCAGCGGTGGTTTTGGAGCCAGCTGCTCGACGCTGTTGTGTTTGGCCTCACTTGTAAGGTGTGGTTGTTGCCACAGTGATCCACGTTGTATGTTTGCAATATCTGTTTATCTGTTGCTCAGCAATGATTTTGACCACCACAGATCGAGAAGCGTCTTGAACCAGTGGAGGAAGGGGAAGGAAATGAGTCGGAAACCCCAAAGTCAGGCTGCACCATCTTCCTGGGGTACACCTCCAACCTCATCAGCTCCGGAGTCAGAGAAAGCATCCGCTATTTGGCGCAGCACAAAATGGTACAAAATGACACGTCTTATGTAATGATCCACATAAGCTCTAAATCAGTCACCCGGTTTCTCAGAATCTGTTCCTCTGCCTCAGGTGGATGTTATTGTAACCACAGCAGGAGGCGTGGAGGAGGATTTGATCAAGTGCCTGGCTCACACCTACCTGGGAGACTTCAGCCTCCCTGGCAAGGAGCTCCGCCTGAGAGGCATCAACAGGTTTGTTAGCGCTGCTGTGGTTTATCTGTAAGCTAACATGTAAAATAAAAATATTAATAGTAAAATATAAAACTGTTTGTCGTGGCCACCCTTCAGCTTCTGTTTTAGCTCATCCCCCTGGCTTTCTTCTGTTTGACTTCCCCTTTTGAAACTTTTTTTTAAACGGTGTAGATGAACAGTATATAAGGCAAAGCAATAATAGGTCCACTTTAAAGAAAACACGCTTATTCGCCTTAGAATCAATGCCACTGCACAGAGAGGAAGCAGTGCCAGTAAACTAAATGGATTGGACTGGTGCTTATATAACGCATGATATAATCCCACCTTTCCACAAGCCTCATTCACCCAGTCTCTCACTCACACACACACACACACACACACACACATTCATACAGTCCTTTTATCGATGCCGAAGCACTAATATCTACCAATCACACACTCACACTCTGATCACCCCGATGGATGTACTGAAGGCAACTCGGGGTACAGTTTCTTACCCAAGGACACAGTGTTTGACCTCATAGTCGTGGACAAGTTTCTTATTCTTTATGCTTTCATCACAAATGGCACATGTTGTGTTGGTGCAAGGATTTGACAGGCAGGTGCTGATCTGTGACCTTGGTTCACATAGAAAAACCTGCTGATGTATTGGATTTTGTCCTTGTCCGTCTCCCTCTGTCTTCACTGGCTGTAGAATTGGTAATCTGGTGGTGCCCAACGATAACTACTGTAAATTTGAAGACTGGCTGATGCCCATCCTGGACCAGATGTTGCTGGAGCAGAACACAGAGGTGAGTCTCTCCCTGCACCCCAAAGCCTACTGCAACAATAGTTGTTAGTCTTATGCACTTTTAGGTTTAATATGTAATATACAACTTTATAAAGAATTAGGAATAATAAGAAGTTTCTGCGATTCCAGGGCACCCGCTGGACTCCCTCCAAAATGATCCACCGACTTGGAAAGGAGATAAATAATACAGAGTCTGTCTACTACTGGGCATACAAGGTGGTTATGCACCTCCTATTCTCACTTGCTTTGCTTACTTTGAACTGTCTGTGCTGTTTGGTGGCTAAATGTGCTGTTGTGTTGCGTTTCAGAATAACATCCCGGTGTTCAGCCCCGCTCTGACAGACGGCTCTCTGGGCGACATGATCTACTTCCACTCGTATAAGAACCCCGGCTTGATTCTGGACATCGTAGAAGGTTTGTAGCGGCGCCGATGTTGCTGGCTAAAACGCAGGTTTTTAGTCGTTTCGTGTTGCTAATGCGCGCTTTATTTTCAGATATTCGCAGGTTGAACAGCCAGGCGGTTTTTGCCAAGAGGACTGGGATGATCATCCTGGGAGGGGGGCTGGTCAAACATCATATATCCAATGCAAATCTTATGGTAACTAAATTCTTTTATCTTTAGCTCGAACTTTTTTTTTTTTTTTTTCTTTAGCTTTAACTTTTCTCACTTCTGAAAAAGTTTGATAAATTAGGTTATACCCAAGAGGTTCTACTTGAGTACAAATCTGAGGAACGTGGGCTGTCTGAGTATTTCCACTGTAGCTGCTTTAACAGTTACAGCCTGCAGTTACTTCACAGATTCACTGTGATTTTCTACCTGTAAGTTGCTGTGACAA